CAGAAAGACATGGAAGGAGAAGAACGGTGGTGGTGCAGGACATGAATGAGGACACCATGACAGAGGTGAGTTAGGAGTAACAGATGGGTTCAAGGTAGGCGTGGGACAACATCAGGGATCTGCTCTGAGCCCTTTCTTGCTTGCAGTGGTAATGACTGGGTTGACAGATGAGGTCAAGCAGGAGTCTTCGTGGATTATTATGTTTGCAGATGATGTCGTAATCTGCAGTGAGAGTAGAGCTGAGGTAGAAGGTAGAAGAAAGCCTAGAAATGTGGAGGTATGCTTTGGAGAGAAAAGGCAAAAAAGGCCAGTAGAAGCACGACATAATAGATGTGTGTGAATGAGAGGGAGGCAAGGGGAAATGTGTAGATTCAAAAAGTAGAGAGTACATGAATTCAAATTCAAATTCAAATTCAAATTTTATTTGTCACATACACAGTCATACACAGTACGATATGCAGTGAAATGCTTAGACAACTGCTCGTGACCTAAAGAAAAAAGAAAAGGCTATAAGATAGGAAATAAATATGAAAATTAAAAAGGGTAAATTTAACTAGGAAGGAATAAAATAAAATAAAATATAAAAATTAAGGTTAAAAATGAAATAACTGTACAACACAAATTAGAATGAAGGGCAAATTTAACTGGGAAAGAATAAGATAAATATATAAATTAAAGTTGAAAATAAAATAACTGTACAACAAAATACACAATATACAGTATAGAACTATATAAGAATGTATGAAGAAATATAAATATATATATACACAATAACAGCAGCTGTACAAGTATTAAATGGAAATGAAGAAATATAATATCCAGTGTTGTGCAATCCACATCCACATGAGTTTAAATACCTGAGATCAACCATCCAAAGCAATGGACACATGGCACAAGAGAATTGAAGAAGAAAGTCCAGGTGGGGTGGAGTGGGTGGAGATGAAATAAGGTAGTGAGACCTTCTGTGATGTAAGGTATGGTGACAGTCGCACTGACAAGGAGACAGAAGGCCAAGCTGGAGGTGGCAGAGCTGCAAAAAGGGTTTTTACAGGGAGTGACAACAGTGGACAAGATTAGAAATGAGTGCATCAGAGTGAGAGCTCAGGTTGAAATGGCTTGAAGAAGTTCAACTTCGAGGTGCAGGGTTTAGACATGTGCAGAAGAAGAAAAGTGGAGATGTTGTGCAAAGGATATTGAATATTGAGCTGCTGAGCAGGGGGGAAAGTGATTGGCCACAGAGAAGATTTCTGGATGTTGTGAAGGAGGATATGCAGATGGTTGGTGTGACAGAAGAGGATGTTAGGGATAGGGTGAGAGGGAGGTAGATGATTCGCTGAGGCAACCCCTAATGGATGTATCTAAAAGAAGACGACCTGTTTGTCAGGCTTTTAAATTCAAATTCAAATTCAAATTCAAATTTTATTTGTCACATACACAGTCATACACAGTACGATATGCAGTGAAATGCTTGGACAACTGCTCGTGACCTAAAGAAAAAAAAGGAAAAGGCTATGAATAAGATAGGAAATAAATATGAAAAATTAAAAAGGGTCAATTTAACTAGGAAGGAATAAAATATAAATTAAGGTTAAAAATGAAATAACTGTACAACGCAAATTAGAATGAAGGGTAAATTTAACTGGGAAAGAATAAGATAAAATATATAAATTAAAGTTGAAAATAAAATAACTGTACAACAAAATACACAATACACAGTATAGAACTATATAAGAATGTATGAAGAAATATAAATAAATAAATATATATATACACACAATAACAGCAGCTGTACAAGTATTAACTGGAAATGAAGAATGTAGTGACCAGTGTTGTGCAATCCACATTATGTCTTGTGCAGTGCAAATATGCTTAAAGTGATTTAAGTGATGAAGTGAAAACAATGTCCAGAATGTCCAGTGTGTGTGTAAGAACTATATGTGTGGGTCAGTACTGTGTGGTGGTGTGATTGGTATGGCCTGCGGGAAGAAGCTCCTCCTCAGTCTCTCTGTGTTGGTTTATTCTTGGTTGGTTTATTCTTGGTTGGTTTATTCTTACTCTACTTAAATGAATCTCTTGGGAGATTATGATTCTTTGTGAAAAATGGCTCCATATGTTACACAAAAAAAAGGCTTTTTTTTGCTACCAGGCAGAAGTCTGGCAAACAGGCTATTTCCGCGATGCAGTATCAACACTGGTCCAAGGAAAAGAAAACAATTTGTTACCGAATGTATCCACAATTCTCTCAGAATTCCATTCTTTTTCATGTATGCCAGCGCTTCCCTTAAGTAAACTTGTTCTACAAGTTTAGGTCTATTAGAGAGTGATATGTTTAGAAAATAAGTAATGCTAATGAAGACAGTCTGTAACAGGTTAGACAGGATTCAGAGTTTTCAAAAACTAGTCCATTAGTGTGACTCATGCAGCCCCCTGATGCCTCCCAATGACCTCTTCCCCCAAGCCTGTATTTCTGCTCTAAGCAGGGTTCCTTGGTGGCTAGATGTTATTTTCATGGGCTTTTTTGAATCACCCAGGACCCATTTACTTTAGGAGAACATACCAGAGTAAGCTGCCTATATCAAACAATCTTGTCTCTCGGACCCCTTGGGAACACATCTGTATCATCCCAGAAGAGCTTGGGAGAGGGAAGTTTTGCCTCTCTTCTTTGCTGCCTCAGTGACCTGTATCAGTAAGCTGTAGTGGATTGATGGGTTGATGGATGGATGGACATCTTCCTGGTTATTTACGCCATATTTAATGGTTCATCTCAATGTGCACTTCTTTTTTTATATTTGAGATTATGTATCGGAATTTCAGGAGCAGGACCACACCTCCAAACACGCTCCTTCCGGCTGTCATCAATATAAGTTCCCTCAGTTCTGCAAGCTGATCATTCTTGTTTACGTGCCCCACCCTCCCTCCCTCCTTGTTCTCAATTCTTTAACTTCTTCACTTCTATTTAGTACATGGGGATCTGCCAGGCCCGGGAGCCATCGCCAGTCCCCTTCGAGGCCTTCCCCAAACCGCAGCTCAATTCATGTCAAAGCATTCACTTTTACCTACTAAAACGCTGTCAAACCTAAAATGAGGACGTGGGCCCAGCTAGTGAAATGAAGTTACAATGCATGTTTGCACATGTGTTGCACAAAATGTAGTCAAATGTTCAGGGATAACATTATAAATGAAATTAATTACGTAGCATGGCAAGGAAATATTGTTGAAATTAGAACAGCTGCAATTTCGAAATATAATTGTTCTCACATCAGCTGATTCATATGCTGCTGAAAGCATGCAGACATGTAGAGAATGACAAAAATGAGGGCAAAAGCCTTTTGACAGGCTTACATAAAAGCTTCAAGCTTTGTTGCAGCCTCAGTAAAAGAAAGGTCATTATAGACAGGAAGGAAGGGAGGCAGTAGGAGGCCACTGCAATCATCTTGTTATCTCTGATTATTACCTGAGTCTGTATCGTTTTTGGAGGTTAGAATGACTGTAAGAGGTTTGTTCTTTCTTTCAGTTCAAACCTTTATTTCGCTTTAAGTATATTTTTCTGAATGGATATTTTAAAGTAAATCATTTTTGTGTGACTGTAGGTGCTGATCATTTTAGTTGTCAGTGTTTTCCCACCAATGACATCTCTGTTTAAAAATATCCACAGCTCAGAACAAGGGGAGAGGGTAGGAGAGAAAAACCCATCAAATTACCTCCACGTTTCTTCTGATTTAATGTCTTACTTTGCAAAACAAGCAACACTTGCCATGCACTGAGACTACATTTGGAAGTTCTCGATCTAGTCAAACTAATAGAGAATATGTTTTAACATCAGGCACTAGTCAGACCAATCAGAAGCAGGCGTGCACCAACAGGTCCTGTCACTCAGTAGGAGCAGCTGTGTCTGACAACCATGAAATTAACTCCATAAAGAACGAAAAGCTTAACGATTTTGGAGTATTACTGGTTGACTTATCCTAAGATTTTTGTAGATATTTCTTTTTTCCTGTTTTCTCTTCTAGCTTAATCATTAACCTTTGATCAATAAGGAAATCAGGAAGGAGAAATCTTACCTCTTATATAAATGTTTGTCCAGTGCAGCATAGTAGAAGTGAAAAACTAAGAACAACAAAGATAATGTAGTATAAAATTGTTAGTCTTGGGGAAAATGGCAAAGAGGATATTTTATGTATTTATTATGTTAGGTAAAAGTAGTAAAGTGCTTTGACATTTGTAGCAACAATCTGTTGCATTTCATCCCTTTTTCCATTTTATTGTTTTATTTGAGCTTTGACTTCTGCTGTCCCCTAAGGGCCACTGTAGGTGACTGATGTGGCATCTCCAGGGAGTCTACGGGGGTTTTCAGTTAAATAAAACAAGGAAAAACATTTGTGTGCTTGTGTTGCCTGAGGGTACAGACAGAAGACAAGCAGGAAGTATGTAGAAGACAGTCATGGTAGGCGCAGTGTCTTCTTTGTATGGTAACAAGAGAACTACATTTTGTAACTAATGAAAAACCTGGTTGTTTCCTCTGGTGCTGCATTACCAGTCAAATATTTTCTTGAATTTGAAGCAAAACTTGGTAGAAACCTTAAAAAAATACATTTTAAAGAATAGCATTACAGTTGATGCATTGTATAAACAGTCTTAATAAAGAAAATACATTTTTTTCTTGCTGGATCTCACCAGTTACACACTAGTTTGTTGCCAATGTCCATTTTAAGTGTGGTCATTAACTGCAACATGTTTCTTATCTTGGGGCTCTTTAAAATAAAGTCTGTCACTGTCAACTTAACCTTTATAAACTGTTAAACCTTTTTGACAGGAGACTCTTGATCACTTAAATGAGACTTATACTTTTTTAAATAAATCTCTTCTGGACAAAAGTGTAATATTGTGTTATAGGTTAAAAAAAAAAAAACAATGATCCAAACAAAGACTGTAAGTTTAATGAAATTTCACATGTTTATTTTAAAATGAACAAAAAAGCAGATCAAACATTTCATTAGAGTTTATGGGCTGCACAGGTTTGGAAAACAAGGGTAAATAGTAGGAGGGAGCACGAGAGATCGAGTAAGGTTGGGAGGATTGGGGAAGGTGTGGAGACTGAGGGTGTTGCGTAAAGAATAAGAGCTGGGTGAAGAGTAGGAAAGAGCACGAGAGGGTGGGTAAGGTAGGGAGGAGGTAGAGGGGTTGAGTTGGGGTGTAGAGACAGGGGGTAAAGGACAAGAGTCGGAGGGAGTGAGAGGGATGGGAACCAGGCAGAGGTTTGGGTTTAGATCTTCAGTTGCTCTTTTATCTTCCATCTTCTCGTCACTTTTTCCCTCAAGGTTTTCTTCGATGTCCTCTTTTGTCTCCTGCTTTTCCTCCTTTTCTTCCTGCTTTTTCTTGTCCTTTCTTGGTTTGTCCGTTCCCTCCTCTTCTCCCTCGTGGTTTTCCAGTTTTTCCTCTTGGGAATTTGTTTCCAGGGTTTCTTCCTGGTGGTCAGCGTCAGGTGCAAGCTCCTATGTAGAGAGAGTAAAATGTATTTTACTGAACTGTGACTCAGTCTGACAGAAGTTGTTAGGACCAAACATGACATTATGGTAAAGTGAAATGATAGCAGAGACCGCTTACCTGAAGGACGTTCTTCCATTCGTCCAGATTTTCCTGTAAGTTCTCCATCAGATGCTTGTTCTTAATTTGGAGCTCCTCCACTTTCTTCTTCTCCTCTTTCAGGCTCTTCTCGGTTGATTGCCACTTGCTGCTCCAGTGTTGTTCCCTGGTGTTTATCTCCATGTCTTTCATGGTCGATTCATGGAGGAGTTCTACCCAGGCTTTGGTTTGAGCTCTTCTTTTCTTCACAGATCTTTGAAGCGCCTCATCCTTGAGTTTGAGCTCTTCTTGGAGGCTACTCACTTCCATTTTGTGAGCATCTTCAAGGACGGCAATCTTCTCCTTCAAAGATGCATTTTCCTCCTTTGCAGTCTTCAACTCCTGAGTGGCAAAATGGAGTGCATCTTTTAATTCTTGCACCGTTTCACTTCCAGCAATCTTGTTAGCTTCCTGCTGCTGTTTCATATCAGCAGCGCTAGTCTGCACTGGCCAAGATTCCTGAATGATAAAAACATGCACGTAGTCCATAGTTAGAAAAATCAATTACACAGTGTGATGTGTGGCATTAGAAGTTTAAGGTGACACAAGAAAAAGCAAAAACTGAGTCCTACAGATGTTCTAAAAACACAAATGTTCACAGAGTTTTGTTAAAAGTGCTTACAAATGTTTAAGTATTAAGAAATTAAAGTTAAACTCCAAAGTGTACTCTGCTTCCTGAAGATTATGAAAGCTTTAGACACATTTTGAGCAAACAATTCAAAAAAAGCTTTTGCTTGCTCACACGAGAAAAGCTTACCAGATTTTCTGAGACAAATGTTGGGTCCATTTGGGCTCAGAAACACTGAAGAGTCGCTGTTACACTTGTTTAGCTGTCGATATTTTTCCAAAGCGTTCGTCGAGTCACAGCAAATAGCGAGAGATGCTTGTAGGTTCAGGATGGTGTTTAGAAATGAAATATCCAGGTAAACACTGCAAACACTGTGTTTGGAGAATCCTGTTCAAAAATCATCAGGCGATAGTGACAGCACTACCCAGGTGTTACCATGGAGACCATGTTGTTTTGGTTTCTGTGTTCTTGTTGTTACTGACTGAACTTGAAGCTATTTAGCTATTTACTGTGATTAAAAATGAAAACTAGTTTCAATCAGAAAGGGTCCTTTGGGTGTAGCAACCTTTTCACTTAATCCT